TTTCAGTAAAGGAGTTGAACATTTTCACCTGTACAGAAAATTATGTGTTCATTTCAGATTCAGCTGTCACTCTAATAGTTACAGAAATGCTTTGTGTTGCATTATTTTTGATTCTTATTTCCCACTGTCAGTTACCTCAGGGGCTCTTGTGGAAAGTTATAACTGTTTTTAAGAGATCATGGGGAACCCCTGGGCCACCTCATTCTTTAGAATATAACATGAGCAGTATCATCAATTTCTCATAGTCAGTAGGGACATAACTATAGACTACCCTAATCATTTAGGATTTTGGATGCAATTACAGTTGATTCTCCCATATTTCACCAAAGAAATTTTCACACAAACATAGTGATCTTCAAACCCAAATCTTCCTTGTGGAGGGCCTGAGGTAATAGTCTTAGAATCCCATCCGCACTGACTGGTACCAAAACAATCAAGCTAGGTTCAAATGATGTGAAGCCCAAATGATAGAAAAAGAGGAACCTGACCCAGTCTCACATCCTGTTGACTCCCTCACAAGCACAGTTTGTTATATATTAATGTTAGCCGTCGCAAAACACACCGAACACCGGAGTAAGGGAAAGGGTTTATTGGGGAACACCCAACAGACTGGAGTGAAGGGATGGCAAAGGGAAAGAGAGAGAAAGAAAGTATAAGAAAGAAACAGAGAGGAGAGGAGCTAGCAAGGAGAGAAGAGAGAGAGGAGGAGAGAGGAGAGCAGAGAGCAGGAGAGGCGAGCTAAGAGAGAAGAACCGAGAGAGCACATGTTCAGGAACAGGCCCTTTTAATACTTTGCCTGAGGGCGGACAGGGAAGCAGGAGCAGCGAATCCCATTAGGATGGGGGTGGAGCCTGGCTCAGGTAGCTGGGCCTTGCGGCCACCTGGCTACAACTGCACCAGTTTCCTAACACAGTTTCCCTGTCCCAAGAAGCTTTCCCAAGATTCCAAGGCAGGGGAAAGAAGGGAGAATCCCCAAGAGAAAGACTTCTTTGCAGCTCCTTGGCTGCCTCAGAGTCAGCTCACTGCAAGCAGTCTGCACACATCAGAAATGAGAGTTGATGCAGGAGGCAGGAAGTTTATTAGTGTGGCCAGCAGAGGCCACAAACTCTGTGGTGCCAAAGACCTCTTCCTGTTTGCATGTTAACTACATGGCCTTTACAAGAAAAGGGAGAGCCTGGGAACACAATTAAACAGGTTTTTGGGTGGTCTGAGATCTCTTTCATGTGAGATCAAGTGCAAACCCAATGGCCTGTCACAAATTCCTTTCTTATCTGGGCTCTTTTTTTGGTCAGCTCCCTGAAACTTAGTTTTTGTTAATTATAGATGTGTAAATGTGTGGCTTCTCCCAAGGTCAGAAAGGAAGAAAGGAAAGTACAGTGCTGTTATATGTAAATGTAGAAAAAGAGTAGATGCCCTCCCTCCTCCTCAGTCTTAGGGGATCAGGTGCTCCCATGAAAAGACTTTCTTAACCCTGCTGTCTCCAATGAAGAAAGACCCCCAGAGAGTAACTCAGGGGCTGACATTCACTTCACACTACAAAAGACTTGGCCACTGTGGGAATCTTGGGTTATCACCTACAGGCAGTTTTGAAGCCCAGGATAAGGAGGAGATTGAAGGGTGTGTTGAAAAGACAGCATCCTGTAAAATTTCCCAGGGGAACCTAAAACAAAAGACATTCTGATAAAATGTCTGCCATTAAAATAAGTAAAAGGAGTTTGCAAAGATTTGAAAAAGTAATTTATTTTATTTATTTCAAATGTCTAGAGCCAGAGAGAGAGAGAGAGAGCGAGTGAGCGCATTCATTCATTGGTTCATTCCCCAAATTCCTGCAAGTACTGTTAGGTAGCAAGTCAGAAATTTAGCCTATGTGTATATGAGAAAGGCCTGAATACCAGCACCTACTGCAGAAGCTCCAGAAGCCCAGCATTTTGCACTTCAAAGTCCTGCTCAGACACTGATAACCTCCCAGGTGGTCCCACCCCTTCCCCCAAGGAAAGCTCCTGGGAGAATTTCCTCTCCTTAGGACCAAAGGGCTTACCTGACCTGATAACTTGGGGCAATAAAACCTAGGAAGCCCCCCTACTCTGGCCAGGTACCAGCAAATCTGGGGAGGAATTTGCTAATTTTCATCCAACAAACTCTTCTTCCAGGACTCTCCATCCTTTGTCATGGAGGATGGGGGAGGTGGTTAAAAAGACTCCCATAAAAACCTAGGGAGTCCAAACAGACTGTGCACTCAGCTCTCTGCCTCTCTGCTGAGTCACCAGCCTGACCTGTGTGCAGGTGTATTCTCTCCATTCAACCATGTAACCTCACTCTCCCCCAGTCCGAGTGACTGGGTACTCTCTCTCTGCCATCTGATGGGTGCCCTATCCCCAGAAAAGCCTTATCATTCCACTTTCTGTCTCATGCCCGAATTCTTTCTTGGATGAAGACAAGAACTCCACAGCTTCCACAGCCTTCCCTCCAGTGACAGAACTAGGGCTGGGCCAAGCTTAAACCTGGGTCTAACATATGGATGGTAGTACTTGAAGTGCTTGAACCATTACCTCCTTTATCTCTGGATATTCAACAGTAGCAATCTGGATTGGAAGTAAAGAAAAAAAATCAAACTCAGGGACTCATATGGGATGTGGGTCTCCAAGTGGCATCTTAACCCCTTCTACAAGCATGCGCTCCAGCACAAAGCATTTTAAGACTGGTGTGTCAGATAGAGATTGCTTGTTTCCCTCTAATGTGAAATGTTCACAAACAGAAAAACAACTTTTAAAGAGTTACTGATTGTCCTGTGGAAAAATGACAAGATATATTTCAGCAAAGATGAGTGGGAAATGTTCTTGTTGTCATGAAAGAAAAGAATTCAGATGTGGTACAGAAGAGTTGTAAGCAATGTAGCATATGTTTTGGGATAGAATGGGGATGGACAGCTCTCCAGAAAGAATATGAGAGGGTGCCCAGTTATTCAGACTGGGAAAGCAAGGTTGCATAGATTAGTGTGGAGAATACAACTTATAGGCCAGACAGGTGGCTCAGCCAAGAATTGAGCACTGAGTCTGTATTCAGACTGGGGCTTATAAGGGAATGAGGTCCCATTATTTTTTCCTTTTTTCTTTTCTTAAAGAATATTTCATTTATTTGAAAGGCAGAATTACAAAGAGAGGAAAGATAAAGAGATCTTCTGTTTTCTGGTTCACTCCCAAATGGCCACAAGGATGGGTCTGCTCCAGGTCAAACCCAGGAGCCAGGAGCCAGGAGCTTCATGTGGGTCTCTCATGTAGGTTCAGAGGCACAAGAACTTGGATCATCTTCTGCTGCTTTCCCAGGTTGCATTATCAAGAAGCTGGATTGGGAATGGAGCAGCTGGGACCCAAACTAGTGCTCCTATAGGATGCTGGCATTACAGGAGGAAGCTTAACCTGTTACATCACAACACTGGTCCCTGGGGTCCAGTTCTTCCCACCACTTTTCTTTCTCCTTCCCTCTTTTGGGCAAAGGATTTGCCAGATATGACACAGGTAAACTAGCTCCCAAGGTTTTATTACTGAATGTTATTAGGTTGGTAGCCCAGATGGTACCAGGAGATTCCTCTGGGGAGCTTATCTTGGGAGAAGGCTAGGACCACCAGTAATGTTATCAGGGTAGGAGTAGTATTCTATGGTGGAAAATACTAGGCAGCTTCCAATGTGTGCTTCTGAGGCTGCTAAGGGCTGCTGCATTGCTTTCCCTTCTGTGGTGCCTTGTGTCCCTTAGGTCCCTCTTACATGCATAGGCTAATTTTTAATTTCCTACCTAACACATTGGAGCTGAATGAAGTGTGTCATAGAGAAAAATAGTTGATAATTTTGGAAGTATTAGAGGAGAAAGTTGCCAATTGGTAATATGGAAAAAGATCTGGATATATAGGCATTTATAGCCAGACTTAATGCTATGGATTGATCATGTTTTCTCCACTCTGAAAGTCATTGGGAGATCAAATCCCAATAATGAATTATTAGGAAATAGAACTAGATGACATCTTATAATGTTATGGACTAGGTATAGGGCCTAAATTAACTTTCCAGGGTCTTGCTTTTACTTAGAGAAGAATACTAAATACAGGCCCAAACACAGCATGCAATGTGATAAACTATTTACAAAGTGAGAAACATATACACACCCAAAAGGGCTTAATTACGAAGAATGGGGCCAAAGAAAGGGAATTATCATATCCTGCTCTGCTCCTCCTGAGTCCAGGTGGATGACAGAGAACTTCTGTTCTTCCTAGCTTTTTATACTCTTAGAAAAATGGAAGTGTTGGGGCCCATGCTGTGGCGTAGCGGGTAAAGCTGCTGCCTGCAGTTGAAATTGGAGAAGACCCCCTAAAATCTACACTAAAAATGTGGCCCTTAAAGTTCTGGGGTGCCACATGTGCTACCAGAATTTGGAGTGCCATACGATTTCACCATGGGCTTGTTACTAAATCCCCAATATTAATAAGCCCAAGAGGGTTCTTGTCTATTATTTAGAGAAGAATTCTAAATATTGGCACAGATAAACAAGGCAGCATGGTATGTTTTAAGCTTTTACTTCGTAAGAAAGATGCATAGGAGAGTGAGAGCTGTATTTAAGAGAGAGAGGTAAATAGGGGTTTATACCAAGCACCAGGAACCAGCCACATGGAAGAGCATCTAGGCCAGGAAGCCTGGAGCACATGGCCCAAGGGCCATGTGCCCTGGTGGCGCAGGGCTACAGCCAGCCCTCTCCTGGCAAGAGTCCAGGGAAGAAGAGAGGGCCAGGCCACACCATGTCCCATCTTTTAACCCACTTCCAAAGGAGAGTGGTTAATTAACCTGATTGGCTGGTGGGCACCCAAGTGTGGCCAGGTAGGGGAATGAGGCCACACAGGAGTGTGGCAAAGGCATCAGTTAGGGGCATGAGGTCACACAGGGGTGTGTTGAAGGCGTGGTCTTCTAGTTCACAAATCTAATCAATTTTAGCCTGTATGTCTGCCTATTTCACAGTGCCGGCATCCTATATGGGTGCCAGTTCATCTCCTGGCTGCTCCACTTCTCATTCAGCTCTCTGCTATGGCCTGGGAAAGCAGTAGAAGATGACCTAAGTCCTTGGGTCCCTGCACCTGCATGGGGGACCTGGAAGAAGCTCTTAGCTCCTGGCTTCAGATCGGCACAGCTCCAGCCATTGCAGCCAACTGGGGCGTGAACCATTGGAAGGAAGACCTCTCTCTCTCTCTTTCTTTCTCTGCCTCTTCTTCTTTCTCTGTATAACTTCGGCTTTCAAATAAATAAATGAAACTTTTTAAAAAAGAAAGAAAAATGCAAATGTTTACATGGTACAACCCCCATATCCTGGGTAAGAGGAGGTACTTCCTGGGGAGGGGTCCCCTGATTGACAGGAAAATGAATATGAAAACACAAAGTGAACTAGGTATGACTTCGAGGTCATTTAAAATTACCTATCTAATCTTCACCACATCAATAAGAGGTGATTAGTATAAGTCTTTTCATGTGATTAATGAGTTATTGCCAGAGGTCTGCTATAGAAATTACTTTGGGGGACTGGATTTGTGGTATAATGGGTTAAATTGCAACCTGCAATGCCAGCAAGCCATATGGGTGCCAGTTCAAGTACTGACCACTCCAATTCTGATGTAGTTCCTTGCTAATGTGAGGGTGGCAGGGGATGTCCCAAGTGCTTGCCTCCGAGCACCCATGTGGAAATGGGGATGGCATTCCAGACTCAGCATTGGCCTCATCCAGATCTGGTCATTTTGACCAGTTGGGACATGAAGCAGTGGATAGAGGATCACTCTGTGTGTCTGTGTGCGTGTGTGTGTGTGTGTGTATCTCTTAACTCTGTGACTGGGGCACTGGCTCACTCAGACCTCTGGCCAGGGCAGGGGGCAGGGTCCACTGATCAAAGCTCTTGGGGCAGGAGGCCCCTGCCCTGAAGCCCATGATCCAGGCCTCCCCCGGCTGCCTCTCCTGGTCCCTTCATGCTTGGTTCTGTTAGAGGCAAGCACCTGCAGGAGCCCCTGCCCCACCACGCACGGAAACTCCCCTGAAGCCCCCTCACCCACGCAGGCATCACCGCCATGCTAGCGTCCTTCATGGTCGGGCTGTACTACAACACCATCATCGCCTGGATCCTGTGGTACTTCTTCAACTCCTTCCAGGACCGACTGCCCTGGAGCCAGTGCCCGCTGGACCAGAACCTCCCGGGTGAGCTGCGCCTGGGGCCGAAGCCAGGGTCCTGGAGGGGCTGGGGGCAGGGAGCCCTGAGACTCCGCTCCCCCCAGGGCAGCCAAGGGAGAGGGAGGCCGTCAGGAGCTCGGGAGCACTTAGCCTCGGGTGCGTGCACATGTGCTGCTCCCGCCGACACGCGTCACGGCCGCGCCCTGGCAGGCTACACGGATGAGTGTGCGCAGCTCCTCCGTGGACTAATTCTGGTACTGCCAGACACTCAACATATCCATGTCCATCAACGACACGGGCAGTGATGGATCCTGCTGTGCCTCACGTGTGCCTGGAGCGTGCTCTATGTGTGCACCATCCGCAGAATCGAGACAACGGGCAAGGTGCGGGACGGGCGCCGCGCGTGGCTGTGGGGCTGCGGTGCAGGGCGCGCCCTCGCCGGCCGCCCTGAGCCCGCCTCCCTGCCCCGCTGCAGGCCGTGTACATGACTTCTACGCTGCCCTACCTCGTGCTCACCATCTTCCTGATCCGCAACCTGACGCTGAAGGGCGCGGACGCCGGCATCGCCTTCCTCTTCACGCCCAACGTGAGTGCCGCCCGCCGCTGCCCACTGCCCGCTGCCCACCCCCCTGCCCGCTGACGCCGTGCTCTCGCTCTGCGCAGGTCACCAAGCTGGCCAACTGGTCACCTGGCTGGACGCGGGCGGGCAGGTGTTCTACTCCTTCTCGCTGGCCCTCGGCGGCCTCGTCTCCTTCTCCAGCTACAACTCGGTGCAGTGAGTCGGGGGTGCAGGGGTCCTGGGGCGCCGAGAGTGGGCCACGCCTCGGTTTCCCCATCAGACCTGGAGACCTGGCCGCCCTCGCGAGAGCGTGCACGGCAGCCCTCGGTGGGGGCGTGCTGGGGGAGGTATGAGGAGGGCGACCCTGCTGACCCTGTGGCACCTGGCTTCTCGGGTGCTGGCCCTTACAGAGGCTCCATCTGGCTGGCAGGACAGGTGGCTTCCACGTCTCCACCACCTCAATCCAGTTCCAGAACATTCTCCCTACCCCACCCGCCCAAGTCCCACCCCGTGACCCACTCTCCCTGTCCTGCCAGCTCCACAGAGTCTTGAGGCTGCTCCGCAGGGCCTTGTGGCTGCTCTGCAGGTGCCTGGGGCTCTGTGGCTCTTGGGAATGACCCAACCTTCAGGCACATGCCTGGGAGTGGAGCTGTGGGTCCAGCCGGGTCTCCATGGCCGACGGCATCATGTGTGTTGGCTGTACCGATGCCTGGCAGGTCCAGGGGCACCTGAGGCCCAGCTGGGACTTGAAATCAGAGCTCTCCTGCTCCAGAACCAAGGGCAACAGCTGCTCCGGGGGCCCCAGAGCCAGTAGGTTGTGGTGGGGGAGGCGTGACGGGCAAGGGCCAGGGGTCCCCGCTCTGGGCTCCCATGCTGGGCACAGCCCTCCAGCTGTCTGAGTCCTCAGAGCCCGCACCTGCTCGGAGAGGCACAGGTGGACTCCCGCCCAGCCCACTTCCCAGCAGGCCCTGGGCCCTCAGTCCTGGGCTGGCAGTGGTGCCTCTGCCGACCTCTGCCCCGTGGGGTGACGCCACTCTCGCCACAGCAACAATTGCGAGATGGACTCCGTGGTCATCTCCATCAATGGCTTCACGTCCGTGTACGCGGCCACAGTGATCTCCATCATCGGCTTCTGCGCCACCGAGCGCTACGACGACTGCTTCAGCACATGAATGGTCCCGCCCCCGCCAGGCCCCGTGCCCAGCATCATCCTGGCTCTGCTCCAAGGAACCTCCTGACCCTCATCAATGCCTTCGACCTGCAGGAGGGCAACGTGACCCAGGAGAACTTCGCAGAGATGCAGCGCTGGTGGAACGCCACGGACCCCACGGACTACGCCCAGCTCACGTTCCAGAGCTACGACATGAACTCCTTCCTCTCGGAGGCAGGTCCCAGGCACCCTGGCAAGCGGGAGGCAGAAGCGCCCCTGCCGGCCCCTCAGGTTGCTCCCTGGGGCTGCCATCCACTTCCCCTTGGTTGCCACGATGCTGGCCGTGGCACATCCTGCTGCTGCTGGGCTCCACACACACTGCCTCCTCTCTGTTCAGGAGCCCCTAGGTTGTGGGGGTGTCACCACTTCCGGGCCGACTCCCACAGTGCCAAGCTTGGTGGCGGGATGTGGAGTCACCCATTGTCAGCTATGTGTCACCTCCTGGGCCCCAGGTGGCTGCTGGTGTTGCTCATCCCAGCCCAGGCGCCCTCAGCTGCTCCTGGCTCTGCCAGGGCAGGGCGCACCTGCCGAAGGGGCCCGGGCCCCACGCACCCTCACCTCCCGGCCCACAGTTCTGCTTTACCCGTGTATCTGGAGCCAACAGGCAGCCTAGGATCAGCCTCATTCTCGCTTGATGTGGTTCAGTCAGTGGGCTGTGCACTGACAGGGTGACCAGTATGGCCGTCAGGGACTGACAGGCCCTGGGTGACTGGGTGCCATCATGCAGAGCATGGAGGGCATGGGCCTGGCCTTCATTGTCTTCACCGAGGCCCTCACCAAGATGCCGGTGTTGCTGCTGTGGTCCGTGCTGTATCTTCCTCATGCTGTTCTGCCTGAGCCTGTCGTCCATGATTGGGAACATGGAGGGCATGGCTGTGCCACTGCAGGACCTCAAGCTCATCCCCGCCAAGTGCCCTAAGGAGTGCTCACAGGTGTGTGTGCCACGGGGGCCCAGCGGTGTCCCTTTACCACCGGGCCACAGGTTGGGACCCGCTCGGCTCTGTTTCCCTGCAGGCCTCATCTGCCTGGGGACCTACCTCCTGGCCCTCAACTTCACACTGAACTCTGGCCAGTACTGGCTCTCCCTGCTGGACAGATATGCGGGCTCCATCCCCCTGCTCATCATTGCATTCTGCTAGATGTTCACGATCCTCTACGTGTATGGCATTGACAGGTAAGAGGGAGGAGGCAGCAGGGAGCTGGGCTGGGGCTGGCCTCAGGGGGCACAGGGCAGACAGCAGAGCAGCAGCCCTGAGTCCCGGGAGGGGGCTCTGCAGGGCCCCCCCAGGGGAAGTCCATGCTCCTCTGGCTTCCAGATTCTCTTACACCTAGCTATGCAGAGCGAGCACTGACAGCAGCGTTGGGAGACCGCCCAGAACTTGGGGTGTATGAGCATGGAGGCCACAGCAAGAGCAGGCCCTCTGCCACATGGCCGAGCAAGAGCCTTGGTCTGGGTCCCCCATAGCAGCCTAGGTGCAGGTGCAGCAGAGGAACGAGGGGTGGGTGGGCAGTAGGGGTGGGGTCCTCGGCCCGGGGTACCTATGTTGTAGTGGGGGGCTGTTATCTCCCTGGAGCTCCAGGCCTTTCCAGAGGGGGTGTTGCACCCCCTCTTCGTGGAGGAATGACACAGGACCCTGCGCTGTTCTTTTGTCTGCTCGGCCCTTCCCGGGTTTGCTGCTGGTTCTTCCCGGGTTGGCTGCTGATCCTTCCACCTCCGTGGAAAGTGGCTCCCCCTGCCACTTTCCCCACTTCCGCGGGGGAGCGGCACACCACCGGCCGGCTCTCTCGGGGGCTGCTCAGATGTTATTCAGATGTTCCCCTTAGATGTTCCTGGTGCGTGTTGTCTCTCTCCTCCTTTATAGTCCTCTTCCACCAATCCCAACTCTGCTACCCACATGCCGAGTATGCTGCTCTCCTCCAATCAGGAGCAGGATCAGCTCCTGCAGGTTATTGGTTGAACTGGAGGCAGCTGTGTAGAAGTTGTTTATTCCTCTCCCAGCACCATATTGTGGGAGAGCAGATGCATAGAATAAGTCTTAATTCCAGTAACTTAGTCTAGTCCAAGTTGCTCCCCACAGGGGGGGCCTTCAGCCCCCACTTGGCCAGACATCTGGGCACTCACCTTGCTGGGTGGGGTGGCCACCAGAGAGCAGCCTGAGAAGCTATCAAGGTGAGCTGCTTCTGAGACCAAGTGTGCTGGCACAGGTGTACAGGTACAGGTGTGCAGGCCAGGTGTGTGAAGGCCAGGCATGTGCAAGCCAGGTGTGCAGGTACAGGCTTGCAGAGGCACGGGTGTGCAGGCACAGGTGTGTGCAGGCCAGGTGTGTGTAGGCCAGGTGCACAGGTACAGGTGTGCAGGCACAGGTGTGTGCAGGCCAGGAGTGCAGAGGCAAGGCGTGCAGAGGTATAGCTGTACAGGCACAGGTGTGCAGAGGCACAGGTGTGTGCAGGCACAGGTGTGCAGAGGCCAGGTGTTCAGGTACAGGCGTGCAGAGGTACAGGTGTGCAGGCACAAGTGTGTGGAGGCCAGGTGTGCAGAGGCCAGGTGTGCAGGCACAGATGTGTACAGGCACAGGTGTGTGCAAGCCAGGTGTGAAGAGGCCAGGTGCACAGGTACAGGTGTGCAGGCAGGTGTGCACATGCCAAGTGTGCAGAGGCCTGGTATACAGGTACAGGTGTGCAGCCACAGGAGTGTGGAGGCACAGGTGTGTGCAGGCCAGGTGTGTGTAGGCCAGGTACACAGGTACAGGTGTGCAGGCACAGGTGTGTGCAGGCCAGGAGTGTAGAGGCCAGTTGTACAGGTACAGGCAGGCATGCAGAGGCACTGGTGTGCAAGCACAGGTGTGTGCAGGCCAGGTGTGTGTAGGCCAGGTGCACAGGTACAGGTGTGCAGGCACAGGTGTGTGCAGGCCAGGAGTGTTCCTCCCTGGGCTGCGCTGATGGGTGGTCTCACCCCAGCCACTCAGTGCCCATCGCCCATCACTCAGAATTTTGTAAAGAGCACCCCCACATCTTGCACAGCCACACTCACCCTCCTTTCTCCCAGGCAGTTCCAGGGTCTTCTGAGCGTGTGGCCCTTCCTTGTCCTCACGCCAGCTCTTGTTCCAGGTGTCTGCTTGCCCGCTCCACCTGTCTACACTGGCTGTGCCCACTCTACCTGTCCACTCTGGCTGCACACACTCCTCCTGTCCACACTGGCCACATACACACTGTCCACACTGGCTGCACACTGCCTGTCCACCATGGTTGCGCACACTCCTCCTGTCCACACTGGCCACACACACAGGTGATGCAGTGCCAGCCAGCCAGAGCTGAGCTGGGGACAGTACTGTGGGACCTGCTGGCCTGGGGTAGGCTCCACCTAGCTTGTCCATGCCCAGCCTGACTGTGGCCTGGGGCAGGTCTGGGGCCCACAGGGCACTGAGCACAGCTCTGAGTCTTTCCACAAATGGTCAAGGAGTAGGTTGAGGCAGTGGGGAGGGGCCCAGGCTCAGTGGGTGGGGGCCCTCCTGAGGCCCTGAGTGCCCCCATGTGCAGGAACAACTGTGAGAAGGACGCCATGGTCATCTCCCTGGTGAATAGCATGACCTCCCTGTATGCCTCTGTTGCCATCTTTTCCGTCATGGGCTTCAAGGCCACCACAGACCACGGGTGTGCCTGGACAGACGAGGCCAGGCCACGCCATGGGCAGGGGCGGGGCAGGCATGCCAGTGTTCCTGAGGACTCTCATTGGAAAAAGGGTCTCAGCAGACAAAACTCGGGTGTGGATGGAGCTGAGGTCACCCTGGGGAATGTGGGCCCCGAGTAGGGGACAGCCACAGGAGACATGAGGGGTGCCCTCTGGAGCCTCTGGGGGGCTGCCACATGACCCCATGTGCCCGGGCCTCTAGGATCACATGCACTATGCATGTCTCCGCTCTGAGACATGCATAGTGCACAGCCCTAAGACAGCACCAGGAAGCCGATGCTGCCTGAGTGACCCTGAGGCCCTCTACCCGACCATCCAGACACGTCTCATTCAGGGTGTTGGGTGGGCTGCAGCCTCTGGCACAGGGAGCTCTGCCCCTGCAAAGTACGCATCCCCGGAGGGGGCTTCAGGTGCCCAGTGGGTGGGGCAGGGGTCCTGCTGAACCTGGCACCCAGGACGGCCCCCACATGCAGAGCCAATGGGTGGTGCCTGTGCCAATCACACACTGTTCAGAGGGAGGAGGCAGAGGACAGGCCAGCCATGGCCAGTGTGGCAGGAGCCGGTGCCCCAGGAACACTGTGCTTCACACGTGTGTGTGTGCCTCATGTGCGCCTGTGTGCCCCACATGTGTGTGCACCTCATTTGTGCCTCATGTGTGTGTGCTTCACCTCAGCACCACCCTCACCAGTGCAAGAGGGGCTTCTCCAGCTCCTTCACCTGGACCCCAAGGACAGGGTCCTGTCATGTCCTAGCTCGACTCCCGGAGTTCCATAGAGCATAGCAAGTGGTGGCCATGCTGCACCGTGCAAAGCTGCTTCTCTCTGTTCCAGGGCTCCCACTCCCAGGAGCTGACTCTGGGTTAGAGGGTGCTGGGCTGGGATGGGCGCCTGGGGCATCAGGATGAGGCTTGTGCTTCCTGCCCTGGCTGCACTTGGCCCTGCTCTGCATGGCTGCATGAGACCCTGCATCATACAAGGCACCGACGCCCCAGCACTGAGTGTGGTCGACGGCACCATCACTGTCACTCATGCCTGGTGCCCACCTGACACACAGCTTCCTCTGTGAGGCACATCCCAGCCTCCCACACTTAGAACACCTGACGTGGGGCCTTCTGAGCAGCCCAACCAGCTGCTGACAGAACACAGCAAACCTGCAGAAGACATGGCACTCGAGCGACCCAGGAAGCTGACACAGGAGGGCTGGCCTCGACTGGGCCCCTAACTGGGAGCCTCAATGCCCAGATCAGAGCTCAGTGGACTGTGTGGGAGGGTGACAGGAGCAGCTGTGTGGACAGCGAGCCCCAAGGCTGACCTCGGGAGCCACGCGACGCCGGGTGTGGGTAGACAGGGGCTCTCAGGTCACGGGGCAGGGGTTCCCAGCCCGAGAGTGCCTGGTCCTGAAAATGGGGGGCTGGGCCCCTCAGCTGAGCTACAGAAGCCGATGCCCCTGTGGCATCCCGGGGCCTTCAGGATGAGGCTGACCCCTCCCGGAGCAGGAGTGCACGCAGGTCACCCTCAGGAGTGGAGGGGTGAGCGGGCCAGGCCCCCAGGGTGCCATGGGCCTTGTGCCTGGATGTATCTGCTGGCCTGGGCAGTGGGTGGCAGCACAGGCCCCACAGCCCCACCCCGTGTCCCTGCAGAAACATTCTGGGCCTCTTCGACGAGTTTGACTTCCCAGAGCAGCGCATTTCCAGGGCCAGCGACGAGGCCGTCCTCACATAGCTCAATGCCACACAGCCAGAGAGGCTGTCCCTGCTGTCCCTGAGGGTCTGCGGCCTGGAGGACTTCCTGGACAAGGTAGTGCACACAGGACTGCCAGGGCCACCCCAGGAACCCCAGGCGTTGGGCCAGGCCACAGGGCTGTGAGCCTGCCAGAGTCCAGAGGAGCCCTTGTCCAGTGGGGAGGCTTCAGGGCCGGGCTGATGGGCAGCCAGGCACAGATCCTGGCTCCAGGCACCTAGAGCCTCCCAGAGGGATGGTGGGCATGGCATCCCTACAGGCGCACCTGTGGCCTGCACAAGTGGCCCACCATGGGCTCCCAGTTGTAGAGCACCTGGAGCCTCCCGGAGGGGTGGTGGGCACGGTGTCCATGCAGGCGCATCAGTGGCCTGCTCCCATGGCCCACCATGGGCTCCTGGGTTGCAGAGCACCTGGAGCCTCCCAGAGGGGTGGTGGGCACGGTGTCCATGCAGGCGCTCACGTAGCCCACCACGGCTTCCAGTTGCAGAGCACCTGGAGCCTCCCGGAGGGGTGGTGGGCATGGCGTCCGTGCAAGTGCTCATGTGGCCTGCATTCATGGCCCACTGCGGGCTCCTGGTTGCAGAACACCTCGGGCCCAGTCTGGCCTTCATCATATTCACGGAGGCCATGCTGCACATGCCGGGGGCGCCCGTGTGGGCCGTGCTCTTCTTCAGGATGCTCTTCACCCTGGGGCGCTCGTCCATGTTCGGCAACATGGAGGGGATCATCACGCTGCTCCTGGACATGGGGGTCATCCACATGGGGATCCCCAAGGAGGCCCTCACAGGTGAGTGCACAGCTCAGCCACAGGGATGCCTGCTGCCTCCCATACAGAGCTCAGGGGCCCTGGGCTAGCCCGCTCCCCGAGCACAGCCCAGCGGCTCTGGGCAGGACACGGGTGGACCTGCCCTGACCATGGCCCACTGAGGACAAGCTCTCACCCACCTCCAGCAGGCGGGGCAGGGTGGGGGAAAGGGGCAGGTGCAGGCCTCCCACCCAGACCCTGCACCCCAGGGCTGGCCTGCCTGGCCTGCCTGCTCTCGGCCACCTGCTTCATGCTGCAGTCCAGAAGTTACTGGCTGGAGATCTTCGACAGCTACACAGCCTCCCTCAACCTCATAGTCTTCACCTTCTTCGAGGTGGTGGGGATCATCTACATCTACAGCTTGCGGCGGTGAGCTGAGGTCCATGGGGAACCCGGGGGGTGGGGAGGGCCCCGCAGCGCCGTTGAGCCCAGTGTCTGTGCAGGTTCTGTGATGACATTGTGTGGATGATGGGGCAGCAGCCAGGCCTCTACTGGCCAGCCCCCTGCTTCTCCTGAGCGTCTTCCTGGCCTACCTCGTCCTGATGGCCCAGAGGACGCCAAGCTACTGGGCCTGGAACCCTCAGCACGTAGGTCCTCCCAGGGGGATCAAGGGACCACAGTGACCTGCAGGGTGACCCTGGTAGGACTGGAGCCTCTCGAGGGCCTCAGAGCAGTGTCCAGACCCTGGAGACATCGGTCCTTCCAGCCCACACTTTCCATGTGGTGTGTGGACAGGCAGCCAGGGAAGCGATAATTCTAGTGTCTGGGAGAGGTCGGGAGGCAGACTGGAGAAGGGTCACTCCCTGCCTGGTCCACACAGGGGACCATGTAACACCTGGCCTGGGTCGCCTCTCCCAGAGTGAGCACCAGAACCCCTCAGGGTCTGCCTGGGGGAAGTGAGAATTTTCAGCTTTATCCCGGGGTCTCAGACCACATCTCACCTGTCCACAAGTGTTGGAGGCCAGTGGGTGGGGACCACATGCCCCTGCCTGCCCTGAGGGTTTCCACCCAGAGGGAGCCTCAAGCCCCAGCTCCCTCATCCCTGAGCACCCACCCAGGATGCTGCCCTCCTGTAGTCCCAGGGAGGAGCTGGGGCTGCCTCCATGCACAGGTGGTCGGGTCAGCCTCACTCTGCCCAAGGCCTGGGGTCTGGGGCTCGGGGTCTGACCCTCCAGGCTGAGCTCTCTCTCTCTCTCTTGTGCCCCCTGCAGGAGCAGGTCCCCTCCAGGCAGGAGAAACTACCCTGGCTGGGTGCAAGCCATCTGTATGCTCCTGTCCCTGCTGCCCACTCTGTGGATCCTGGGCATCACACTGGCCCAGCTGGTGGCCAAGGGCAGGAGGCAGCAGCAGGATGCATGGCTGGACAGGAGCCTGAGGCTGCAAGACAGCAGGGCCCACTGAGGGGCAGGGATGGCCGTGGGTGATCTCATCACACCCTCCCACCGACTCTGCAGGACCCTTGGCTCCCGTCTTGGGCCTGCTCTACCCAGGGTCCACTCTGCCCTCAAATGGGAGGCAGAGTCCACCCAGGGGCACACCCAGGTCCTGGCTGCCACGGGAGGCCCTCTGCAACAGTGCTACCCACACAGCCCCACAGCACACAGGCCACACAGCCTCAAGCTGTGGCGATGGACAAAGGGCAGGCGTGCTGATGATGGGCCAGGCCCTGCACAGCTTCCCTGCCGGGAATCCAGCCCCAGGCTGACCCTCAAGTCCAGCTCAGGATAGGGGGCAGGGGTCATCTGCACACACGTGAGGGGGACACATGGGTGTTGGGAACCCAGCCAGGGAGGACTCTGGGAGACCACAGAGGGCCCCTCCCTCCTGGACACTGTGTTCATGGGCAACAGCTCCCAGGGGCAGACAGGGCCATCACCACCACAAGGTCACCTGATGGGGGACTACAGTTAGCACGACCAGCAGGGGGCGCTGTGGAGCAGGGCACAGCCATCTTGTTTTTTGGGGGGCGCTATCCCTCACAGTCACAGCAGCCCCCACAGCTAACTGTGAGCCCACCCCCTGGGGGTTCCACCCCTGTCTCCCTCTCCCTCCCCCGCCCCTGTCAGGAGCTGCTCACTGCAAAGGCCAGAGCTCAGGCAGCAAAGAGGCTGATGCAGTTTCACCTGTGGGGATCCCGTGTCCACAAAGTGGCCACTCAACACTGCATCCCCTGTAGGCACTGGCTGGAGTCCTGGCTGTCCTGCTCCTGCCCAGCTCCCTAATGGCCCTGGAAGGCAGCAGAGGATGCCCAAGCATCTGGGCCCCTGCTACCCATGTGGGAGACCCGGATGGAGCTCCTGGCTCAGTGTTGGCCGAGGCAGCCACCAGGGGAGCAGGTGGATGGAAGCTCTCTCCCCCTCCCTGTCTCTCTCAAATGAACTGTGAATTACGAAAGCTCAGCTTTTCCAAGGTTCGGCACTCACTGAAGCCTGAGAACCTGAGTGACAGTACAGCAGGGCCTGGGGTTCCCCATGGGCACGGCGGCTTAGTCACCAGGATGGTCTGGGGTCCCCTGGCATGTTGGCTTATCAACTGGACAGTCTGGGGTCCCCGTGGGCACGTCGGCTCAGTCACCAGGATGGTCTGGGGTCGCCATGGGCATGTTGGCTTAGTCACCAGGATGGCCTGGGGTCCCCTTGACATGTTGACTTAGTCAACTGGACGGTCTGGGGTCCCCGTGGGCACGTCAGCTTAGTCACCAGGACAGTCTGGAGTCCCCCTAGGCACGTCGGCTTAGTCACCATAGTCTGGGGTCCCCTGGGCACATCGGCTTAGTCACCATAGTCTGGGGTCCCCTGGGCACATCAGCTTAGTCACCAGGAAGGTCTGGGGTCCCCGTGGGCACATCGGCTCAGTCACCAGGATGGTCTGGGGTCCCCATGGGCATATTGGCTCAGTCACCAGGATGGTCTGGGGTCCCCTGGGCACATCAGCTTAGTCACCAGGATGGTTGGGGTCCCCTGAGCATGTCGGCTTAGTCACCATAGTCTGGGGTCCCCTGGGCACGTCGCCTTAGTCACCAGGATGGTCTGGGTTCTGCCAGGCACATCGGCTTAGTCACCTGGATGGTCTGGGGTCCCCGGGGCACATTGGCTTAGTCACCAGGAAGGTCTGCGGTCCCCGTGGGCACATCGGCTTAGTCACAGGATGGTCTGGGGTCCCCCTGGGCGTGTCAGCTTAGACACCATGACATCTTTTGAATGCAGCAGCAAAGGGGCACGTCCCATGCCATAAAACCCAGCACGAGGTGCCAGGAGCCCTGTCCAAGGTCCATGTCCATGACCCCATCTGTGACATCCCGCTAGGTTCTGGAATTGCTCACAGCAGCTGAAATGTCACACAGGTGCCTGCTCTGCCAGGCTTCAGGCTGCCCAAGCCACCCCATGTTCACCAACATCCCCCCCAACACTGCCCTTCCTGCTCTCAGTAGGGTCCTCAGGTCACATCAGGCCCCCTGTACGCTGGGGCCTGCCGGGGGAAGGGGGCTCCCTACTCATCCTCATCAGGCACTAGGCAGTGCCATGCTCCCTGACAGATACGTGGCTCCAGCATGTGAACAAGACTCCCCCACAGTGGCCACGTGTCCTCCTGCCCTGGCATCTGAGGACGGGAGGGGAGTCCACACGCACTGCGCCAGACACTGGCTCCAGAGGACCACTGCAGGGACAGAGGCAGGGACGGGGCAAGGAGAGGCCTGGGCGGGGCTGCACAGTGGACACCTTGGCTCAGGGATGCTCAGCCTGGACTTTGGATGATGGGGTGGGTGGCTTGCTGCTCCCAGGTACATGTGGGTCAGCGCCCTGGGGCCTCCCCTCACTCAAGCTGGGCAGCTTAACCAAGCACACAGCACAGGGATTCCCTCGGCAGCCCTGGATCACTCGGGGGTGATGAGCAGGCCTGGGACGGCGCACATGCTCACAGGCCCATGACCCATGGCCAGTTCTCCCACGAGCTGCCTCCTGGCTGTTCGTGGTGTTGTCATGAGAGGTCTTGGTGGTGGGCTCTGCTCCCCTGAGGACAGCAGGGAGGGGACTGACCTGAAGGAAGAAGGCCCCAAGGACAGGCCCTGCTCTGTATCAGATGACCCCTCCCCCGACAGCAATGTGCCCGGGTCCTCTGGCCTCAGTCCAGGATGGTCTTGAAGTTTGCGGTCAGGGCCGGGTCAGCTGCAGCCTCCAGGGCCTCCTGGTGGACGTTGCCCAGGCCCAGCACAGAGGCACCCAGCAGGCCAGGCTGCTGCGCCCGCTCGTAATTGAGCACGCTGAACAGCGTCCTGATGTGGGAGGTCCAGGGCTGGGCCTGGGGCACAGAGGATGCAGCCTCAGGGGGGCTGCAGAGGGTGGGCAGCCACAAGCCCACCCAGCTTCCCAGGGTCCTGGGAGAGCCCAATGCAGAGCCGGCCCTCTGCCCACCGGCCAGGCTCCTCAGGGTTCCTGTCACTGCACCCCAGGAACCCTCACTCGGCAACACATGTGACCCTCAGGGATGCTAGGCATCCATCCACCTCCAGCTGAGCAGCTGCCTGGGGTTGGGGTCCGCGGCAACCCGCCCCCCCTCCCCCAGAGGCCAGGTCCTTGGAGTGACCGCAGCAACATTAACTGATGACAAAATCACCCCACCGTGGCAGAGGCACCAGCAGCCATGGGGGCAAGGCCACAGAAAGAGCCACGGGGGGCAAGGGGAGCCACGGGACAAGTCCTGCGGTCCTCAGGGGGCAGCGACAGCTGTTCTTCCCGCCCCTCCACGTGGCGCCATGGCAGGACTCTGAGGGCCCTGGCCAGCTGCCCCCTGTGGGCTCCCAGGCCCAGCTGGGCACCTCCCCCAGCTCCTTGTCCACTCACAGCAGGACCCACCTTTGGGCACACAGGCACAAGCCTGTCAGCTTTTGTGTGGAGCAAAATGGAGGCCAGGTCACCTTCTCCCTGTGGAACGTTCTGGCTCCCACCACAGAGTCCGGTTTCATGATGGGCCGCAGCCTGCTGGGCTTGGGGATGAAGTGCAGTCTGGCCGTGGGCAGGGCCGACCTGGCCTGCTGCTAGACCTCTGCATCTAACAGCTCCCGCAGCTGTAC